TTTTGAATGTAGGGGAATGACCTATAGTTGTTGTTGCTTCTGCTAAAATATAAATAGATTATGATCTGTTTTTAAAGAGAAATGAAATATGCTTTTACATTAATGCAGTTGTTGTGTCACTTCCCTTGTTGTGTTTTGCCTAACTGTAGTGACATCTGTAGTATGTAATGATACAGTCAGACCCTCGTGCCTTGGTCTCAGAAAGCAGACGTAGCAGCACTCATGTAAATGAGTTTCACCCTCAGTTTCACATTTCCTTACTTGTCTTTTTGAGTCACACATTTAGGGCCTACAGCTGCAGCCCTCATGCAAAACACATCCATTGACTTCGATGGGAGGTTTGCCTGAGTAAGGACTGCAGGATCATCTGTGTTGCCTAGATGAAGGTTTTTTTCTGATTAATTAGCAGTTTAATTGTTGAGCACTAGAGAGAGAAAATACTCTCTCAGTAGAATGAAGTGAGGAATAGCAGCAGAAAACGGAATCTGCCAGTGAGATGGAAACATAACAATTGCCATACCGGATCATCCCATCTAGTCCCAGTATTTTTTGACCAGCAGAGGCCACTGCCAGATGCTTTAGCAGTGGTACAAGAAAACTTGCAGTGGGCAGTTATATAGGATAAGCTGTATAGATAGTTTCCAGAGAGTTTGTGTGTTGGGTGCTAAAGTGGACTCTACCTACAGTGTTGTTTGGTGTACTCAGGAAAATAGGCATTAGCCTTAAAACAGAGGCAGAATGGTGGCTGGTAAAAACTGATCTGTGTAAGAAGACAGTGACCTTGGTTTCAGCTAAAGTTATTAATAGGCAGTTGAAACTTTTCACATTTTACTCAACTGTCAAAATCATTCCATTAGGTATTTGTGGATCATAGTAGACTTGGTTCTTTGGATGGGGTTCTCTCTGATAATCAAGTGGGAATCCGATGTCTTAAATTATGTTTTCATGCAGTTTATTACAGAATAATGTGGCTTGGAAGGACTTTGTAAGTGTCAGGTCTAAACTTTATTTAATCATCGCAGTTCTATGCATTATTCAAGTTGGATATGTGTGTTTGTATAAGTTTGAGTTATGGAGTATGCAGTTAAGCACTGTATTTTCCTTTAAAAGTGACATTATGTGCTTGACTGTGAAATGAATATACTTGTCAAAAATGCAATGTTCAATTCACATAGCATATTCTAGTGTAGTTTGGTCTGTGTGTGTGTAATCACACACATGCATTAATATAAAACTGAGACTAGAAGATTCTCTTTAATTAGTGAGATTTAGTCAGATTGCATATCCTAGGTAGTAATGAGCTTCATATAAGCAAACCCTCATTGGATCAAAGTCAGTTTAGATAAGGGCAGCTCAAGGTCACAGAGGGAGCTGCCCAGCAGGCCAATTTGCATAAAAAATTACTGTCAGAAATAGGCCACTGAGGCAGCCCTGGCATTTTGATCTCTTGGCCTTTGTCATGGAGATTCCTGGTTGAGAAGGGAGGACGGCCAGTGTCCCAGATAATGATTAACTGTTTTAATGGCATTCATTCATTCATTCCGCACTAACTACTCATGCAGAAAAAAGGGTTATGTAAAATGACATTAGAAGAAAAATCATTTGTAATCGTTGCATCGGGCTGCACTTTGAGGAGACATTAGGAGTAAATCCGTGGCGTGGTAGGCTTATGCTTTATCTTCTGATATTTACTGAGTTTACTGGTGCATGAAAAGCTTTCAGCAAGAATAGCAGATGGGATGGACCTTTCATAGGTAATACTATCTACCAGGTTATTACTTCTATATATTGATAGTGAAGTAATCTCCTAGATATCACCCTACAAATATAGATTATTTAAATGTTTGTAACAAAAAAAATAACATAGAGGAGCTACTTTCACGAATGCTTTATTTTGTACCCATTGGATTGGAGTCCTCAGATGCTTTTTTAAACCTTAAATAATAAGAAAATAGAAGGCTTAAAAACATACAGGTTCCCCTTGTGTTTGGCTTTTGGAAAGCCGTAGAGATGTGTATAGTTGTAATCTGAACTGTAAGTATTCGGTTTAATTTGTCTCCTTAAATCTGACCTTTTCTATTTGCTAAACACAAGGGAATGTTGTGTGGAGCTTTTTTCGTGTCACATGAGCATACATTCCTAATGCAGTGAATACTCTCAAGGATTCTTGTTAGACCTTGTACAGTACAATAAGAAAAGCTTAACGTCCCTCTCTTTCCGTCACTGATTTCTGATGTACAATTGTTTTCTAATGAGGTAAGACCTATTCAGAGTGCCATCCTCTTTTCTTACTAGCATGGTGTACTATAGTTGGTTAAAAGATAGCATACCGATAACATTTATCATAGTAATTAAAGTTTTCAGCTCAAAGTGTTATTCAGATTAACATCCAGACGTTTATCAGTCAAGTCAGCAGTACATGAACTTCTGAGGAGAGCTGTCAGAGGCTGTAACTGCGAAGAACTTCAAGTACTAGTGTTGACCCATCTTTAAATAGAAGAAAAGACACAAACTACAGAAGTACACACATAATTTATGAGCTGGGAGGATTACTTTTATCTTGAACTCTAAGATTTAACTACTGGATTAGAGTGAAGGAGTCTATAAGTACTTTTTATTTATTCATTTAGTCATATAAATTACTAGCATTATCACTGGCAGACATGCTAAATTCTATGCTAGCAGTATCATTCTGATCCTTAAATCTGGTGTTTATTTAACAAATCATATCTCAAGAGAGAAGAAACCCTGATTTTTCTTTTTCAGAAGAAAGTGATGTTGTTTTAAGCTTCCTGTAAATTTTAATAGAGATTTTTAAATACATACAACAACAGTAGTCTAAATTGTTTTATTGGCTAAATCCATGTAACACCATTTGACAGTTCAAGGTGTAAAACCCCACTAACATTGTAACAGATACTTTGAGATTAACGTATATGTGTCTCTGATGTGTCACAGTTGCAATTTCACATTCCAAATACATCACAAACTATAAGAATAAGACCATTTAATCAGATTTCTCCAATTGAAATATAACCCTTTTAAGGCTTACCGGTAATAGAAATATAGAGTCATTTGTAATATAATGCAGTTGATCTTCTCTTGACAGATACACTCCACAGATATTCTAGATGAAGAGTTCTCTCTAGTAGACAAGTGGTGACTGAAGTAACCAGAGATAGTGACCTGTTGCAGTTTCTTGGTCGCATCACAACGTGAGCTTCAATTGACATAAGCCTAGAAAACGGATTTCATACACATAAAATTCTGTATGACGGCAGAGGGAGAAGGATCCAGATTATATAATTTATTTCTACTTCTAAGGAACTCTGTATTAGAACCTATGGAACTTTATTTCCCATGAGTGGCAGGGCATGGGATCCAAAAACTGGAGCTGGCCAAACCTACTAAGGTTGAAGGCTTTGCACACCTCCTATTCAAAAAAAGTTCAAATTTACGAATTTTTTTTTCCTGTAAATTAAATCTGGGGAGAGTTTTTGTAGTAGAAAGAATGTCCAAAAAGCTAGGCTGGCACAAGTGAGTGGCCTGAACACATTATTACTACTTCTATATCTTATCTACAGAGAGCGACAGACTATATATTTGTTGTTTTATATGAGATTTTGTCTTTGTGCTCCTTTTGTCACAAACACTGGTTTTCATTCTCTCTGATTTTTGCTCTATGTTTATACTGTTTTTCATTGGACATGTCCCTTCTCTGATTCTTTATTCAGTGTATAGTGAATGAAATGTGAACTGAGTTACATGAATCTGAAGCGCGCTTTTAAAGCCATGTGGGTTCAAAATGTGGTGAAACAAGCTTGTCCTGTCCTACCAAAAATGTGGTCAGATGCATAAAAGATGATCAAGCAATAATCCTGTAGTTTCTATCTATTTTACAAGCATCACTATAATTCCTCGGTAAAGAAAGAATATACAGTGGCATTAGAAGTATTAGTGGGAGGTAAACACAATGAGAGGTTTGAAAGAAAAAAGCATCCCTTGCAATAAAAAAATATTGGTGAGTTCTTTGAAATCGCACACATTTTCCTGTGTTCCACTAGAATGAATAATAAAGGAAAATATGTGGAGCTTTAAATTAATTGGATTCTGTTTTGACCAGTTTTCATAGAACCTTTATTCCATCCCCCTTCCTCGGCAGAGATGCCAACTCTGATTAAACAAAGGTTTTGTTTTTTATTGTTTTCTATCGAATAAGTGTGTGTTTATAACCTAGAACATATACATGTGTGCTCATGCACGCCCTTCAAAATGTATGTGGTGGTACTCTGAGCAAAGTTATTATTTATTGGCTCTGGATTTAAAAAATAAAGCTGCCTGACCCATTGAGTTCAGTTTATTGTTCCAAATCTTTCTTTGCGTTAAAAAAATTTTCTGACTTCAAACAGCTAAACACAATAATTTAATTTGGTGTTTGGTGCAGATTCAGATCCACTAGATTGACTTGAAAATTGACATTGGCAGATTTTGTTCAGTGACTGAGGGGAGGGGGCAGGGGAGGTGTAGGGTGAGAGGAAATATGAGTGTGGTAGATTTAGACTGTGTATCTCTCTCAGAAGACCTTCCCCATATTGCCTTAAGTGAGTCCTGCTGGGAGGGACTAGTTTTGCAATACACAAACGCTCCTATCCAGCTGGTGGATGTAATATCTGATGGCCCTGGTTGTTCCCTGAGGATAGTGGGACATCTGCAAAAAAAAGAGAGAGAAATCAGCAGCCTACTTTCCTGTATTGAGAGTCGAAATAAAATGGCTGTATGGAATTGACATTTAAGTTTCCTGTCCCATTTGATTTTGGTGATCAAGGTTTAATTTGCTCTGTAATATTACAGTAACACGAGCAACTTGCTCCTTTTTCCAAACTTCTTGCTTGCAGCTGGAACGCTGTTGATTTAGACAGCTTTTTGTTAAGATTATTTTAATTGTAATTCAACATTTGGAATTCACCAGCCCTAATTCTCACCTGTTTTCCACATTGCAGACCAGACCAGGATCAATCAAGAAGTCCAGTTCGTATTCTGAGCATTCTGCTTTGGTGTACTGCTACAACTGCTCCCAGAAAGGACATTATGGATATGTAAGTCTCAGTAGTCTCTGGCTAAATGTTAAATGTATCCGTCTTATACATATGCTTATCTTCACTCTGGTGTGTGGTTGGGGGAATGAGCTGAAAGACTCACACTAGCAGTGTAGAAAGAACAACGCTAATTAAATATTTGTGATCTTGCAGCATTGTTAAAAATAATTGGATGCCACTGTAAAATGATCTGGAACAGATAAAAGAAGAAACCCCTTAGGCTAATTTTTAAAAACGAGTGTGTGCGTGCATGTGTGTGTTACAGAGAGAGATCGCATATATATGGAAGAAATGGATAGTTGCTGAAGGCATTTAATCTTAAGTTCTCCTGTGGGTGTGGGGTGGAATATTGTTGAAATGTTCAGTCTCTCCACTTTAGTCAGCCAGACTATTTCAAATTGGCAGGATTTGGTACTCCCAGTTGTTCTGACATTGGGATAGGTCTACATTAAAGTACCATAGAAGGAGTCCCAAAACCATGCCTTGAAGCAGTGCCATCTGATTAGAAATTCCCCCTCCCCAGCCAACTTTCCAGGCCATTTAACCACCAGTTTCCATACAGAAAAAATGGATGGTTTCTAACCTGTAACTTAATATCTCTTATTGAGTTTCATATAATTTCTTTATTAGGGAACAAATTTTGCAGGATGATGAGGGCATTTAGCACCTTACAGGATCAGTTCCTTGATATATATTTTGATTGTCAGTATCCTTACACAACAGGTGGAGCTCTGCACCTGTAGACACACAAACCAGGTGCTGTCGTCTTAGCTTTGCTGTGAAATATGTCCGGGGGAAATTTTGCAATGAGAAACAATATTGATAGAAAATCCACATTCCTAGTGTCTTGAAAGCTTTAGGTTCATGCTTTTCTAAAGCTTATGGATAGTATTCACCCAAACCCCCAAACACTCCTTCCTTCCCTCCCTCCTAACTGTCGTACATGTCCACTTAGGCACAGCATTTGCCATGTTTTTCAGCATCACAAACAGAATGGGGTATGTTGTTTTCAAGGAGTTTCAATCCTCGTATGAAATGGTATGGGGACATAAGGCAGTTAAAGGTCAGTCAGGCTAATTAGGGCTACCCCCCAGCAGACTTAAAAGTTAAATGAAGAACTTTAAAATTGATGCACAATTTTACTTGGAGGCAATGTAAAGATTTCTAAATTGGAGTGCTGTATTGTGACAAACATGTACCTGTTAGGAAATCTGCTACACTTTGGATAAAGTGTGTCCTTGGGGGTGGGGAGGGACCCCAGAAAACAGGCAACTGCAATAATCCAATCTAGATAAAATATGAGCATTAGTCATCAGCCCTATGTCATTCATATTGAGCAGCACTCACAAGCTTGGCAGTAGTTCTCAGATGGTACAAAGCGGTCTGCCTAATGATAGATCTAAGGTGCAAGTCATCTGTTTTAAGATGAATTGATAAATCTGCTGATAGTATGACACGCCAACATTTATTCCTGTAGTTTGTTCTGTCATTGCTCAATCTAGGATTTCAGACTTTAATTATCAGAACCTTCTACAAAGGAAATGTTTAAATTATTGGTCACATTTGTTATCTATAAACAGAATAAAGTCCAAACCAGTAAAATATATATATACTTGGTGCTTTAAAAGAGCTTATATCACAAAGTTGAAAATAATTACGAGCCGAAACATTTGGGAGAAAAAATTTAAACAGAAAACGTGAATGATAATTGGGAAGTGTTAAAATGTTCTTGACGCCCAAAAAGTCACAATCAAGAGAGAAGACCACAGTGGTTAAAAAAATTAATTTGGCTTAGAGGGGAAGTGAAAAAATAAAACACTGTAAACAAGGAAGTGGAAGTTGATAGTAATGAATGTGTAAATCAGAAAATTGGGAATTGTAGGAAATTGATAAGGGAAGCAAAAGGACACAAGAACAAAATTATGCCCAGCAGAATTCAGGACAAAAAGAAGAAGTTTTTAAAGAATATTAGGAACAAAATGAATACTAACAATGTTATTGGTCCATTATTAGATGGAAATGGTAGAATTGTCAATAATAAAGCATAAAAGATGGAAGTGTTCGAAACATATTTGTAATATATTCATATCAGATGATGATGACATAATTTCCTTTCCAACAGCAATTAAGGGTGATGTTAAACTGCAGCTACTAAAGCTAGACATTTTTAACTTAGCAGAACTGGGTGACTTGCAACCAAGAGTATTAAAAGAGCTGGCCAAGGAGCTATCTCAACCATTTATGTTGATTTTCAATAAATTTTGGAACACTGTGGAAGTTCCAGAAGACTAAAAGATAGCTAACATTTTAAAAAGAGTAAGCAGGGTGATCCAGGTAATTATAAACCTACCTGCCTGACATTGATTCCAGAAAATAATGGATACAGGACTTGATTAATAAAGAATTAAAGGAGGGTAATATAATTAATGCCAATCAGCATGGTTTTATTACAAATAGATCTTGTCAAGTTAACTAGATACCTTTTCTGATGAGATTGCAAATTTGGCTGATAACAGTAATAGTGTTGATGCAATAGACTTCTGTAAGGTGTTTGACTTGGCATCACATAACATTTTGAGTAAGAAATTAGAATGATACATAATTAAAATGGCACTCTTTAAATTGTCAAAGATATAACAAGATCCAATGGCTGGAAGTTGAAGCTAGACAGATTCAGATTAGAATTAAGGCACAAATTTTCAACAGTAAGAGTAATTATCCATTGGAACAATTTACCAAGGTCTGTGCTGGATTTTCCATCACTGGAAACTTTTAAATCGGGATTGGATGTTTTTTGTAAATAAGATGCTCTAGTTCAAACAGAAATTAATTCAGGGAAGATCTGTGGCCTTTGTTAGGAAGGAGCAGAGATGAGATTATCTCAGTGGTCCCCGCAGACTTTATAATCTGTGAATCTATTACCTTTGTTTAAAGCTTGATAGAACAACCCCAAAACCAGGATCGTTTTACCATCCCACAGAGCTAACCACACCTGGCAGGAGTAAACTCCCATGGGACACAGTCCTGCAAGCTAGCAAAACCCAAAGAAAAGGACTTAGTTCACTCAAAATAGAGTTGAAACAAGGCGGGACGCTGAGAAGGAATCTTCAGTCATGACTTGTTATAGGACCTGGACACATGTAGACAACCCACAGCCAACTGCAACAAGGTGTATGGGACACCAGCAGCATTTAGCAAGGTCTGAGCCATGAGGATGTAATCTGTGTTTTTTACCCACTGGTCTTGACCCCATTGTGGGTGACACATCTACCCCCAATCATATTTCCCTGTGAAAGATTGCTGCAAAAGTGAATTCTGTGGCAATTGTAAGGGTGTGGAGTCCCCGTGCATAGTTTTCCACATTTTTGCCCCCAACTCAGCAGAAGGGTATTGTGTTTGCGGCCTTGTGCATCGGCAGAGCAGTTAAGAATTCAGTCCTGTGTAATTAAAGAGTGTGTCATTCACACTTTGGCTTAAGTTGCTCTATTGTAAAAAATTCCAGCTCTGAATTGGCTGAAAGTACGGACAGTGGCCCTTGCAGACATCTTGGTAGTGTTGCACCTAGACACATGAAGTCAGTAGATAGAGTTCAACTCTACAAATCCCACAAACAAAGAGAGCTGGTTCATAAAGCAAGTACAAAAACCATTGCCCCTCTCAACTCAGGGTTCTAAGAGATGGACATCTCTGCCTGGGTTTTAAAAGTCTGACTTTAGAACAGAAAAAGCCTGCAGGAATGCCAAAATAACTAGCTCTGCATGGTCTTCCTCAATTTGCTGTTTCCAAACCCCAAGAAGTAAATGACACACAGCAGAGTGCTCCTTTCCTTTAAAGCTGAAGTGTACCAAGGTGACTAAGGAGAGAGAAGGCTCAGATTATGGTTTTGTAAAGAACTGTCTCAAGCCAACGTTTTTCACAATTGCCCATCCTATTTTAAGCTACCTCTTACTCCAGTTGATGAAATCTGAAATACTCGGTACTTGCTAGACATTTAGGGATTCACTAGACTTTCACCATTCCCAAAAACTGAAGCAACAGCAAAAAGGTAGTTAATTGCTAGAGTTAACAGGACCATTTCCATTCATAAGATCATTGTAGGCCAATACATTTCCTCCATTGTTTTTAGATGTGGAAGTACTTGGACATATACTTAATACAGCATGGATGCCTTGAGGTTACAATTGCCATAGACTTAAGTTACCATATTATCTGTTTACTCGGAATAAATTCTTTTTAAAACTGTCGCTTCCAAGAATGCTCCATTTCATTGCAATCTATACATCCAAGCCATCCATTGGAACAGCCATAACGAGGACTCATTTTTACGCGTCTCACCATTAAGTGTAACAACTTCCCACATTAATCAGTGACAACCCATTGCATTATTCAGATTTTGCAGCAAGTTTTGCATGTAACAAAACTAAGGAACTGGGTAGTGTCTGCAGATGTGCCTTGCATTCACATCCAAATGTGTCAATCAAATAGAAAATACCTCCATTGGGTTAGTAGCAGGCTGTGCTTTCAGTCCTATGTGAGTTACCTCTAGTGCTGAAAAATGTCCCAAGAGTATTTAATGGTGCAAAGTGTATGGCAGTATATTTGAGAGAGAAGGGTGTGGGAAAGTGCATGTTGTACACTACTGAGATGATTATTCAATGCAGTGAAGTTAAAAGAGGAAACAGAAGTGCTGGTTTTGGAGGCATGTGCATTTCATCCACTAGGGCTTTACTGTCAACATATTAACAACATGAAAACTAGCGAAAGGGCCATCTGTCTGCTGCACAAGCCCTAGACTTTGTGCAGCATCTCAGAACAGACCTGAGGGAGTGTGTTTCACAGCCATCAAAGAAGATAACTGTGTCTTTGCATTACTTGTCTAAAACAGGATCACCGCTGCTTTTGAGTAAATATTTGGCCATTTTTTGGCTTAATATTTCCTTTCACTTACTCTCTTCCTAGGCTTCTCTCATTTTAAACCTTGGCCAAGTGTATAACATGCA